GAGCGATAACATACCCTCTATCGGAAAAAAATCGTAAAAAGGAATTTAAATACATCAAAGATTTAGCCTTTCAAAACGGATTCCCAATGAATATCATACAGAAACTCGTTAATAGACTGTTAAAACAGAGACTATTTATATGTAAAAATAGACGAAGAACCACGGATTACTAAGCATATTTTTGAAAAGAATAACATCACTTTGGCATTCTCCAACAGAAACATTTGGGGTTAGCCGTCTTAAAAGACGCACGGCTAAACCCGAGTGATTCTAGTTCTAGGTTTAGTGTTAGCTCTAGTTTTCGTTGTTATTCAGCATTAGATTGTTGTATATTTTTACTGAACTAAAAGTAAAACTAATAAATACAGAACGTAACGACGTGGATAGCTGTTTGAATTTGTCTTCTTCTTTTTTCTCCACTCATGCTTAAAGCCTGTTCTTCGTCAATGATGCCTCTATTCTATGCGTAAATTGTCACTCCATCTTTTCCTTGGTCGTTCTGGACTTCGTTTACCTAGCGGCGATTTATCACTGGCTGTTTTCACAAGTCTATCTTGCCCCATTCTTTCTATGTATGTGTTACGATTAAAGCATTCATTCCGTGAATGTACAAGGTGTCCAAATTTCGATGGGTTTGCAGGATATCTCAGTTATTATGAATGATAGAATGTTGCGGCTTTTGTGAACCTGAGCTACTTTTTTGTGAGACTTACAATGGCACAAACCAAATTTTCATAGTTTTCATAATTTTCATCTCCGTTTTTGATGATTCCGGTTATCCGGAAACTTAGTAAAAAAGTAAAAACGGATTCTGATAGATTTTTTCACGTGGAACCCAATGGTGCACGTAGAATTTTTCTAGTCATCACGGTTTTTGAGTTATAAACACAACTCAAATACTGAATACTCAACTTCTGAAATACTTAACTCTTTATAACTCAAAAACCGTGATGACTAGAAAAATTCTACGTGCATCATTGGGTTCTACGTGAAAAAATCTATTAGAACCCGTTTTTACAGAATAATGGTGTCTGAAAATCGTAAATTTTGAAACATTCCCTGTATATCGAAAACGAAGAGCGCTATGAAAATTGGCTTTGCGCCATTGTAAGTTTCACAAAAAACTAGTTCAGGTTCGCGAAAGCCGCAACTTTCTATCTTTCATAATAACTGAGATACCCTGCAAACCCATCGAAATTTGGACACCCTGTACACATTGTCTAGTCAATGCATACATTAATTAATTTATCTAGTTAATGTGTATATAAAATACAAAATATAAACTTTTACTAGTTGATGTATACAATTACTAATGACGCCCAGTTAAAGCTTAGAGTATACTAGTTTACATAACGAAACCCAACCCAACCCAAAAAATGATAACTGCTATACTTACTTACTTACCACTTGCATCACATGCAATCCCTTCCACTAAAAAAATTATACCATAAATTTTCTTTGTTATAACTTTTACTAACATCTGTTAGCAAATGCATACACTGCCTAGTTTATGTACACATTCACTAGTAAATGTATACACTCTATGACTGATAAATACTTTCACTAAAACGTTACGTTAATGTGTACAGTGTGTTAATTAATTATCGTGCAAGTATGCAACCAATATCACAGTGCAATACGCATCATACGCAAATCGCGTATTGCAAGAAAAATACTGTGATATTGGTTGCATACTTGCAATGATGACGTCGGGTACGATAATTAATTAACACATTGTACATTGACTGACTAATCTGTACATTAACTGAAATGCTCTACATAATGTTCTTATGGCTTCACTTCTTTCTCTATCGTATATAGTTTTACCGGTGATTCTGCCAAGTACCCTCATTTCTGCTGTTTCCAATATCCGTTTTGTTTTAGACATGTCAGGTCTAGTCTCACCCGTATAGTTCATTATACAGGGTGTCAGATAAAAAACACCCCAAGCTGTAACTCTGTCATTTACATTCCGATTTTCATGAACGAGGAATCAAATGAAAAGGTTTGATGAATGCTATGAATGCTATGAATACTATGATTCATGCTACAAATAAAGTTTTTCCAACGCCATCTTCAATTTCAAGCGATACTAACTTTTGTTTTTCAAATTGCAGCGTATATTTTTCTTCGCGTCATTGGATAGACTTTGTTTTTCTGAATCCATTGATGTACAATATATTCATTTTAAATGTAATATTAGCAGAGAAAAGACACCTGTATATACAGGTTGTCACACAAAGATGCCGCAAGCTGTTACTTTGTCATTTACATTCCGATTTTCATGAGCGAGCAATCAAATGAAAAGGTTTGATGAAGTCATGCTACAAATAAAGTTTTTCCAACGCCATCTTCAATTTCAAGCGATTATCAACTTTTGATTTTCAAATTGCTCGGTATGTTTTTCTTCGCGTTGTTGGATAGATCTTTTTGCTGAATCCATTAATGTACAATACATCAACATTAATGGTGATTGTAGTAGAGAAAAACATTAAAATAGTTTCCGAACATTCTCTTAAAGTCACTTGTGTTATACTATAGTGTGCCATGGGAAAAAATAATCATTTACAACTGCTTCAGGCATTGAAATATCATTTAATGACTGTTATCAGTTTTGCGCGTTATTTTTTTCCATGGCACACTACAGTATTACAGAAGTGACTAAGACAATGTTCGGAAAATGTTTCAATTGTTTTTCTTGCTAAAATTGTTAATAATATAGATGTTTGTTGCTCCATAAAGTGTCGTTTAGGCAGCCTGCGATTTTATTGCCTTTTCTGACTTGTTGGGATACTTCCTTTTCAATATTACAGTAACTTGATAGTCTAACTTTCAAGTACCTGAATGCCATGAGTTTATATTTTTTTTAACTGGTAGGCGCTGATTAATAACAAAATCTTGCTGCTAAGTTTCAATGAACTTTATTACCAAAAACTTAAGCTTAATATGTATAATTTGTAATTTGTTATGAGAGACTTGCTCCGCGTGAACTGAAAACGTACTATTTATTGTGTATCAAATCGTAAACGAAAAAATAAAGGCGATTTTGAGCTCGCAGGCTCTTTTATAACCAGAAGTATAACCAAACCCTTATACAAAAATGCACTACTAAATAAACGGAATAATACATTATAAAATCTGACACCACGATCTGCTCTATTATGTTGTGGTTCACTTCTAGCTTACATCGAAGTGGCTTTTTAGTTATTGTCATGCATTTAGTTTTTTGTGCATCAATGCACATATTGAATTGTTTCGCTATGTTGTTAAATGCTTGTAGGTTTCTCTGTAGATCCAATGATTGAATTTGTATGCGTTAATAGCATATTATTCAACAAGCGTATAATGGCGGCTGTTACCCACGAAGAAGAAGTTGGGTAACAAGTTGAGTGGGTAACATCCATTATACGCAAGTTGAATACTATACTTTATCTACAACTATTTAATTTTGAAAAAAAATCAAAAAAAAGAGAAAAAAAATAAACTTGATAGACATTTCAGACATAACCTCAATATAAGAAAGCTGTCATTTCTGTTAATATTTTATTTTTTGATTAGTAGGCCGTGTCAGAACTGTGGAATAATGGCTTCATTATTCAACACTTTGTCAATCATGAGTAATGCGTGTCATTACCCGTCAAAAATCAAATGTATAATGAATAGATAATTCAATAGTTGTAGATAAAATTATTTACTCAACCAATTTTTCTATATACGTATTGGAGGAATCAGTTATATATGGAGGTTTTACTGTATAAGGAAATTTGAAATTGATAATCATCGATTTTATATTCCAACTTTTCGTCGCCTCTGTATTTAATCGTTTATTTTTTTGTATGATTAAACATAGATTGTTACCACACTTTTTCTTATAAATATTTTGAAGGTGAACCACTATAAAGAAATCGGTTAGGATTATTATTTTGCGACTTTTATCCTTTAATCTTTAAATAATTAAATAAATATATATTAATTAAAATAAAGCCTTCAAAGTTTTAGTGACAAAGTGATATAATCGTTGACGAAAAAAAAAACTGTATTTTATAATCTGCGTTACTATGTGAGTTTGTTCTATTTGCATACATTTAAATTTTAGATTTTACACGAATGGTTTTAATTTGATTTATCAATTATTTCTGGGCTAATAGAAACTGTAATAATAATAATTTAGATTGAGAATTAAACGCACCAAATAAGTACGAGAAAAGATTAACACCCTGTATATAATTAAATAAATAATTCAAGATATGTAATCGAGAATGTCTGATGTTTAAATGACCATCTAACTTCACATACTAATTAAAATTATTTAGCATCAATTTGCATTGAATTTGAAAGTTGTTAATAAACGAGTGCATTCCGTGTCGATCAAAATAGTGTACACTCGCCTTGGTAAAACTAAACTAAACTAAACTAACTAAAGGCACCTTAAGGTACATTCAATTTGGAGTTTATTTCTTTTGCGGGGCTGTGATGTCTTGATATCGTATATATTTTCGCGTTGCACAAACGACGGGCTAAACAGCCATTAACAACGTTGTCTTTTTCTTCATCCTTTCTCAAAATAAATATATACGCTGTGGAACATGAAAGAAAATCCCTACGTGAAAAATGCGTGTCCGTCATGAAAAACCCGTCCGATTGGTCGACGTAAGGTCGAAAATCGCGCTCTCCTCGGCACGGTGAAGGTAGTATCTTTTACCTACTTTCAAATGACGAAAAATACGGAAAACGGGAATGGGCGAGGGACGACCACCGACACGGATGGTTCGTGGGTGGTGTTTAGGTGGAAGTATTCCAAGAGACAGTTTGAAAATTTGAAGGAGACGAAAAGAGAAAGAGAAAAAAGTAACTAACGATGTTCATGTTAAGGGAATATAGACCTTATGATATCTTACGATAAAGGTTAGAAATCGTGGGAGGGATATCTTTATATATATATATATATATATATATATATAAATTAAAACAAAAAGTTAAAAAACAAAAGCTATATTCACCTGAAGGGAACGACCTCGTATGGTGTTGAAACATTGACTGTTGAAAAATGGTCCATATCACAACTTTTTTTAAAAATTTATTTTTAATATTTAAAACGTTTCTATTTCACTCGATATAAATACGCGTTCACCGTATATATTTGGACGAATTGTGTTATTAAGTAATCGAGAAAAAAAAAGTGTAATTTTTAAAAATTTATGTTCAAATAAATCGTCGTTCTCGTTCGTTTTTTGAGGCGTCGTTGTGTATCGGCACGGTTCATTGTACGGTCTGCCCTACAACTATAGTCGCAAAACGGGGAGTTTGTGTATACTTCGTTCGGTACACAATGAAGGCTCCCCTCGAGCGCATGCGCTACTCCCAGTGACGTTCGTCGTACCAAGAATTTTGTAATATAGAGATCGGCCTCTAACCGACTGATGCACCATTCGCACCGCGACGTTCGAATTTTTATATATATACGCAGAAAACGTACGAAATAATCCAAAATTTTTAATCTTCCCACAAATACTTTATTAAGAAGTATTTCTATTTTATGATATTTCTCAATGAAACTAAGATAAGATATAGATTAGATAAAGACAATGCAGTAAAACCTCGATATAACAGAATAATACGGGGAAAGGAGTACGTTATAACCAAAAGCCGTTATAGGAAAAATTTTTAATTTGCATTTTAAAGGAACATCTGAAGATGCACTGCTAAACCAGAAACTCTGTACGTCTAGATCTAGTGTTAGTTCTAGTTATAGTTCAATGAAAAATATACCTCTAGAGTAGTCTAGAGGAAGTCCAGCACAAGAACAACAAAAAAGAGGAGATGGAAAATATTCTAGCAAACACAAAACATCAATACCCCACGAATGGGAAAATTGGTACCGAGGCAACACATATGGGAAGCTTTAAGCGAACTGGGGACTACTCCAAAACTAAAAAGAGCAATCAAAAGCGTATACCATAACGTAATGGGAAGGATTAGACTGAATGGAAAGATGCCAGAAGAGTTCAGAATGGAAAAAGGAGTGAAACAGTGACAGTTTAAGCCCACCACTCTTTCTAGCATACATGGTCAGAATAATAAAGCAAATCAAACGACAAATTACGCAGACGAGACTGGGTCGGTAGTTTTCTTCTCCTCTTGTAATTCATCATCACATTCATTACTAACAGAACTGTCGCTGTTATCACTTTCAATTATTAATTAAAGTTCGCTTCTTAATGCAAAAAGCCGTTTTGAAAAATTACTTTTAATTCTTAAGAAATAAATTATATATAAAATCCATTTCTTGGAATATGATTTTGAAATTTTCCCAAAGTGTTCATAAAAGTGTCTTCTTTCCAATGAACCAACTCGTTTTGAAAAATAGCTTTTCGTTTTTGAGAAAACAATATTTGAAAATTTGATAAAATTTTCGATGTTGTAATTTTCATAGATAATTTTCAAAATTCGCTATTAAATTAATTTCTTGAAGGATCCTTGTGGAAATATTGCCGATTATTAATTAAAGTATGCTCTTTTTAATGCAAAAAGCCGTTTTGAAAAATCACTTTTAGTTCTTGAGAAATAAATTTTTGAAATAATCGACAATTTTTTCGAATTTTGCAATTTTCGCCGATTAAGTTTTAAAAATTCGTATAAAATGCAGTTCTTGGAATATGAGTATGAAAATCTCCCAAAGTGTTAATAAGAGTGTCCTCTTTCCAAGGAACCAATCCGTTTTGAAAAAGAACTTTTAGTTTTTGAGAAAACAATATTTGAAGCTTTGATAAAATTTTCAATGTTGCAAGTTTCATCGATAATTTTCAAAATTAGCTATAAAATTAATTTCTTGAAGGATCCTTGTGGAAATATTACCAATTATTAATTAGAGTATCCTCTTTTTAATGCAAAAAGCTTTTTTTAAAAATCACTTTCAGTTCTTGTGAAATAAATTTTTGAAATAATTGAAAATTTTTTCGTATTTTGCAATTTTCATCGATTAAGTTTTAAAAATTCGTATAAAATCCATTTCTTGAAATATGATTTTGAGAATTTCCCAAAGTATTAATAAAAGTGTCCTCTTTCCAATGAACCTACACGTTTTGAAAAATAACTTTTAGTTTTTAAGAAAACAATATTTGAAACTTTAACAAGTATAAAGAAAAATATTTTTTTGTTTTAAGAATAGAAATATTATCGAATGAAGTATGTCATATTCTTAGCATCGGAGAATATCAATTTTTTGTATCAAAAAATCCATTCTTGCGTCAATAATTTATAATACTCAAATGAAGAATTATACAAGATTGTTATTATATGAATAAGTTTTTCTAAAAAGAAAGATATGTTATTCTTGACTTAAGAAATCTATTAGTAATACGAAAATGGGGTTGTTGACGTAACACTAAGATACTCTTTTTCAAGTTTATTGATTTACTTTTACTAAGAATTCGTTTTTTTGAGAATCAAGAATATTTGTATACTTGCTTTGAAAATATGTGATTTTTCTTCACTCAACAAAATGATTTTGTGGATATATAAGAATATGATAAGCTTGAGCCAAGAGTAATAATCTTCGTTCAAGAATATATTTTTCTCTGTGTAGGGATGCAAAGATAGATCAGGAAATACGCAACACAACAACAAAAGCAAGTGCAAGTCAAATAAACAACACCGTCGTAGGCAAGAAAGAACTAAATACTAAAGCAAAAATACAATTATATAAAACCATCTATATACCCACACTTAATTTTGGATCAGAAACTTGGACGATGTTGGACAAGCACAAATCGAAAATAACAGCAACAGAGATGAAGTACCTACGCAAGATATTGAGGAAAACCAGAAGAGATAGGGTACGGAACAAGAACATCAGAGAAGAGCTAAGCTTAAACTCCTGGTACAAGAAATAGAGGGAAAACAACTAAGTTGGTATGGTCATCTGATTCAAATGCAAGAAGATAGAGTACCTAAGAAAATGTTCAACATGAGGCCAGAAGGAATGACACCCAACCCAACCCAATAGGAGGGAGAGATTGAGGAGATGGTTGAAAAGAGAGGGAAGAGACTCGCCGAAGTACAGACTATGGTCAGAGATAGGAAAATGCATAAAAGATGGAGGAAAGAGAAAGAAAAATATACAACAATCTAACTCGGGGTATTCCCTCGAGTTGTATATACAATCTAGAAGAAGGTAGTTCTTGTTTTAGTTCTTACCTAACACTGTTACTAGAACTAACACTAAACTTACAACTAGAAACATTCGGGTTTAGCCGTCTTATCAGACCAACGGCTAAATCCGAATGTTTCTAATTTTAAGTCTAATGTTAGTTCTAGTTTTATTTCAATAAAAATATACAACAATCTAGTGCTGAATAACAATTAAAACTAGATCTACCGTCCTTGATTTTATTTATGAACATAGAATTGAGCAATTTGAGGAATAATATGTAATATAACTTAAAAGTATTAAGTCCGTTATATCCGAACGAGATCCATTATATCGAGGTTTAACTGTAATAAAAAAAAAGATTTCTCTTTTTTAAAATATTATATAATCCTTCACCTAATTTGAAAATAGGGGTGAATGTATAACGATTCACAAAAATAATTGTACTCAAAAACAAGTGGGTAATAAAACGAAATTATTACCACATTTATAGCGTATTAAAAGCCACTACGTTTAGATTATCGTTGTCCTTATTTCGTTGCTTTTCAATGCGATGAAGTAAAATTTTACTATTCACACCGCACGTCGACGCGTGTTTGAATATTCATTAAATAATTCGCTTTTTTGTTGCACTTAAATAACAGTTAAGTTTCTATAATTCTGATAAATTGGTTTGAAACGAAAGGAATACGGGATAAGTCAATAATTATGAACAAAGATTGCGTAAATTTAAGAGAATTAACAACGTAGCAATTATTAATGCTTTGTTGTAATTGTTATATTACAAACGTAGCATTTTTTATATTTGTGTACTATTTATTTAATCAAAATTCTCTTATCACTAAATTGGTATAACGTTTATTATATAATAGTTTTTATAATTAGAATCGTATATAATTAAGTTTCATATATGAATATTTTTTATGTTTGTATAAACTTACAGAATATTTTAATCGTTTATATCAATTTAAAGTGCAAGTATATGTAGGTGTGTGTAAATTGCCGGATAAGCTAAATACATGTAGCGACATACTTCGTTCGACTCTGAATCGAAAAGATTAAAGTTAAAATATTATAACATGGTCTTCACGAAGGTCTTAAAGTTAAGAAAATTAATCCATAAATAATCATTAGTATCCAATATCTCTTTATAAAAATACTTGCAAACTAGAATAAAAGGAATGCATATAAAACCGTGGTTCTCAAACAATTCTTGGTCGCGACTCCGTTTTCAATTAAAATATTTCTACGGTGCCCTACCCTAATTGTAAGTAAAAGAATGACTATAAAAGTCGTCCATCTTCATTATTTCTTTCTTTTTTCTTTATGAACATTAAATTAATAATTAATTTGATGGATAAGCATGAAAATCACAACTCATTTTCTCAATTCGTGGAGTCCACTCTGATTTCCTTTTTCACGGTGATTCGTGCTTTATATTTACTTTGTACAAATACGAGGTTATTATTATTATTCATTTTGTGTTTAGTAATTTCATGCTGGCAAATTTTTGCTTTCAAACTGTTATCACATAAATGATATCCGAAAAATTTGTTACTAGNAAGAATTCGTTTTTTTGAGAATCAAGAATATTTTTTGTATACTTGCTTTGAGAATATGTGATTTTTCTTCACTCAACAAAATGATCTTCTTGTGGATATATAAGAATATGATAAGCTTGAGCCAAGAGTAATAATCTTCGTTCAAGAATATATTTTTCTCTGTGTAAGGTTGCAAAGATAGATCAGGAAATACGCAACACAACAACAAAAGCAAGTGCAAGTCAAATAAACACCGTCGTAGGCAAGAAAGAACTAAATACCAAAGCAAAAATACAATTATATAAAACCATCTATATACCCACACTTAATTATGGATCAGAAACTTGGACGATGTTGGACAAGCACAAATCGAAAATAACAGCAACAGAGATGAAGTACCTACGCAAGATATTGAGGAAAACCAGAAGAGATAGGGTACGGAACAAGAACATCAGAGAAGAGCTAAGCTTAAACTCCTGGTACAAGAAATAGAGGGAAAACAACTAAGTTGGTATGGTCATCTGATTCAAATGCAAGAAGATAGAGTACCTAAGAAAATGTTCAACATGAGGCCAGAAGGAATGACACCCAACCCAACCCAATAGGAGGGAGAG